CTCTCTCTCTCTCTCTCTCTCTCTCTCTCTCTCTCTCCCTCTCTCTCTCTATTTCACTGACTATCGACCCTCCCGGATTCCTCACTCTTTCATTCCTTCTCTGTCCACGCCCTCGCCCACCTCTAACCTGAACAACAACATGAATTAAGTGTTAGATCGTATTATTTTGCAGTCACGTGGCTTTACGTTTCTTTTACGCGGGGGCGTTGGTCTACTGTATGATCTTTCAAAGCTTATTAACTTATTGATCGAATAACATATTTGACGCCTATGGCAATGAATAATATTTAGTGATTAGAAAGTGGCAACTCTTGTATTATTATATGTTATATATTAGATGTGCACATATATAAGCTTCTATATTTTTTTCAAGTCATACATTTACCAAAATACAGATTTCAGAACCCTGACGATTTATTTATTATATATTTTTGTTTTCCAAATGTTCATTTCCTATCTCGTTAAACCGGGTTCAGATTTTTAATTTTGTCGAATTAGTACAACGATGATAATATACAGTTAAAAATGAAAAAGATTTTCCTTTTTTCTCAACAATATTAATAGCTTTATCTATTGATGTGTAATAATCATCTACTTATTCATAATGAATTAGATTTCGCTGGCAATTTTCCCAGCCTTATTGTAGTTTAGTTTTGGTTAAACTGTCTTCCAAATAGTACTGTATGATAATGAAATATATTTACATAACCAAAATAGGTAACGTAAAATCAATTGTAAATATGAACAGATTTCATCAATAACGTCTATTGTATAAACCAGTAAGCATCAAATAAAGACATTAGAGTAGCGATGCTAAGAATTGCGCTTGAAGATGGCACAGGAATAAGCCGCTTATAATCTGCCTGGGTTTCGTCGCTGTCGCATTACACCGCATGCTAATAAATATGACACTCAGGTCACCAAAGCTTTTATAACCTTTTATACTCTCTTCACGTAGCTGAGATACATATAGTCGTCACACCCATAAACCCAAAATACCCGCCAAAATACATCTGAAATATAGCTATCAGCGCTTCTGCAGAAGAATGTACTCACTGTTTATATGAATGAATTAACTTCTATGATATTTAATCAATAAAGCGCAAGATTTTAATGAATTACTGTAAATTATCGCACGAAAATAATCGTTGGGAATAGAAAATGTGTAAAAATATAACTTTGAAAGGCAGTAAGAAAAATATTTGTTTAATTTAGGATAATAGGCTTATTCAAAAAAAAAATCTGTCGCAAAAGTACATTTATTGAAATAATCTCACGTAAGGTGACTGGACTCATTGGAAATGTGTAAATTTGTGTTGTGCCCATGTACAGCATTTTATTTCGCGTCTATAACTGCTCGATACTTATCAAAAATGTTTGCGATTACTCTGGCAACTGTACAAATATCGCACTATTATAAATAATGGAAAAGATCAACCGATAAATCGATAATATTGGCGTGAATACGGAGATAGGATCACCACCCTTTGCTGAAAACGCGCATTTTCGTGTCCGGGATTTCTCTGCTGCCTCCGTCCGTCGCGTCGAACGGTGCCTGAGGCTGCGCCAAACTCATCAGCTGCATCATCTCTTCTGGCGATACGGCCTGCTGCGCTCCCTGGTGGACCTCGTCTTCGCGCCGCAGTCGCGAGGTATCTCGTCCGAGCGAATTCCGCCCGCGGTGTAGATCCGAACTCATCATCGTCTCGCCGACTCGGCCCGCCTCGTTCTCGCGCGGCAGCAGCCCCCGTGCGATGACGTCACTCCGCGTCACGTGGTACCACTTGTCTGGATTCATCCGGGCCAACATTGCGTCCGGCGGCGGTCCGGCAGATGGCGCATAGTTTTGTAGCGAGTCCATGTAGAAAGAGATGAGCTGCGACAAGACGCGCATGTCGGCTTCGGCCGAGAACCTTTTATCCTCTCTCGCTCTCGTGCTCTCCTCCCAGTTCTCGCCCAGTCTCTCGCCTCTATCTCGGTCTATTCTCCCCGTCAGCTCTCGTCTGCCGAGCGTCATGCTGCGCGGGTAGCAGCTCACGCAGGCGACGACGGCGGCAACGATGACGATGCTTTTCTGAGTGTGCATTCTAGAATTCTGCAAGAATTGAAAAATAACACACGGCGTGATCGCGGTGGACGCCAAACAAATAAAACACTTGTTATCAAACTACTATTCGAAGTAACAAAATGCCGGCGATGTTTGCCGTTCACACCTAATAAATGCGGCGAACGACGCAGTAAACAGCATTTCTCGTGAAAAATAACGCAAATTGCTTATGGGTACCGTACAAGCGCACCCGGCAACCACTAACACGCGGATATGCACACGTACACGCACGCACGTACGCACGCACGCACGCATGAAACCATACGCATGGATGGGCACACGCGTATATGCACACATATAGTACATCCAGGATCGTACTCGCTCATAATCGCAATAGGCACATAGGCACGCACAAAAGTACTAACATCATAAATGCTGAATTGCGAAGAGGTAATTGATAGCCAAATCACAAGCGCATATAACGATGAGTGGTAAACGATGAGAAGGTCATAGTGCGTGGAGCATATAACATGCATGCAAATATTAGGAGAATCGTTCAAATGATTTTTCACCTAATCTGCCCTACTACACAGC